CATTGAATAATATTTTTTGATTTATATTTATTATTGTTCAATCTTTCATTATTGAATTTTTTTTACTCGTAGCCTCGTAGGCGGGCGGAATGTTTAAAGTTCATAGATTTTGTATTTTGAATTCATTTATTTTGTTTCTTACGTTTGCCGAAAATATTAAAACAAGTTTTATTTTTTTTGTATTATTCGTACGAACCAAGTAGAAAATCAGATCAGTCTCGTTCGTTGTAGTTATTAAGTTGAATCAATTATTGTTTAGTGTAGTGTAGAACAAAACCATTTAATTTCGTAATATAACATTTTGATAGTACATATCACATTAACATATCATCATTAACATAAAATTGTATCATGTCTTCGCCGTTATCATTTACTTCCACGTTATTGAAAGTTTTTTTATTCCAGGTATTACTGTGTTTCTAATGTGCGCGTTGAAGACTCCCATTATCATTATTGGGCTATTTTTGGATATAGTATCTAATAGGTTTTTAGGTTATTATAGGAGCTTTCCCTTAGTAATGTATATTTTCCTAAGGTTATTGATGTCTTTCCTTTTTTACGTGTTTCACTTACTAAAGAGATCATTATATCGTGGATTTCCAATTCCAGAAGGAGTTTTTTGAGTCCTTTTTCTCGCTTTGGTCATCTTTATTAAGTCAGTCCAATTCTAAGGCTTTTTTCTTTGAACCAGTAGTTTATTTAACAGTAGTCTCTGTTACTCTTCCTTTACTAAACTGCTTTATCTAAAGAATTACATATTTTATGTGAAATCCATCCCTCTTACTCTTCCTTATTTCTGTAGAGGGAAAGAACTTCTCCACATCAATCGCTTACCTTCCTGTATCGCTTCCTTAGCTAACACGTCAACTAGTTCGTTGTGAGTTATACCGCTATGTGCTTTCACCCATATAAATGTGCATAAAATTCCTTGTTCCGTCAATGCCACAAGAGTGGATACAATGTCCAATACGCAAGGGTGGAGAGTAGTATAATGTTTTTTGTGTTTTAAAGCCATCAACACAGTTTGAGAATCAGACAATATTGACACGTCAGAGCAACGGACTGACGAAACATACCGCAGGGCCTCAAGGATTGCATATGCTTCCACAGAGAAAATGCTACTATGAGGGTCCAACTTTAATTTTATGTGATACCCACTGCTGGGTACTAAGAAGGCACAACCGCAACCGTCAGATGTCTTAGACGNTTCTGAAACGCAAATTTGTTGACTGGGAGGTAGGTGAAAATTGTGCTATAAGGAATTTACCACCGCTAGGACGGCGAACAACCCCATCGTGTGTGAAAATACGGGACACTTGTCGTGATTATTTATATTCGGAGTATAATGTTTCCGATAAATTATATATAATTTCATTGTATTATTGCTCATAAACTAATTCATTAAAAAGGGATTGATCTTTTATACTTACTCTTTTGTTCCTCCACAGTTGTAAATAGAGCCCAAAAATTGGTCCATTAGGTCGAAGGCAAACCATATTGGTTTATCGGGGATACTTTTCTACAGTATCCCCGATACGTTGCCATTAAAGAATACTTTTTAGCCTTTAATTCTTTTTTGGCTTCCCAATCTCAACTTCAATTCTGTGCCAGGCGTCATAAATTTTTTTTTATCCTTATGTGAATAATGTTTTGGATCCCAAATCACTGATTCCCTTTGATAACATTCAAGGAACTGCAATTGCAGTTCTTGGACCCACTCACTCATTATTTGTTGTTATTATTTATTTATTATTGTTTTTATATACACGTTTCTAACGCAGAAAATATTAATACACTGACAATACGCTGAATATTAAATATGAACTAACGATGAAACACGAGAGTGTGGAGTTGTACCTCGTCTTTCCTCGTACTCGCACCTCGTGTCCTTTTGTCTCGTATACAAAATATCGCCTCAGAAGCAAAGTTAGACGCGGCGAGTAGAAGTAGCACGAGGTAGGTCGAGCAATACCTCCACACTCTCGCTCCTCGGTCTACTGCGTTCTACCTCGCGAGTGTCTGGAGAGGGCTATAGATTTTGTACTTTGAATTTATTTTGTGTTTCTTACGTTTGCCGAAAATATTAAAACAAGTTTTATTTTTTTTGTATTATTCGTACGAACCAAGTAGAAAATCAGATCAGTCTCGTTCGTTGTAGTTATTAAGTTGAATCAATTATTGTTTAGTGTAGTGTAGAACAAAACCATTTAATTTCGTAATATAACATTTTGATAGTACATATCACATTAACATATCATCATTAACATAAAATTGTATCATGTCTTCGCCGTTATCATTTACTTCCACGTTATTGAAAGTTTTTTTATTCCAGGTATTACTGTGTTTCTAATGTGCGCGTTGAAGACTCCCATTATCATTATTGGGCTATTTTTGGATATAGTATCTAATAGGTTTTTAGGTTATTATAGGAGCTTTCCCTTAGTAATGTATATTTTCCTAAGGTTATTGATGTCTTTCCTTTTTTACGTGTTTCACTTACTAAAGAGATCATTATATCGTGGATTTCCAATTCCAGAAGGAGTTTTTTGAGTCCTTTTTCTCGCTTTGGTCATCTTTATTAAGTCAGTCCAATTCTAAGGCTTTTTTCTTTGAACCAGTAGTTTATTTAACAGTAGTCTCTGTTACTCTTCCTTTACTAAACTGCTTTATCTAAAGAATTACATATTTTATGTGAAATCCATCCCTCTTACTCTTCCTTATTTCTGTAGAGGGAAAGAACTTCTCCACATCAATCGCTTACCTTCCTGTATCGCTTCCTTAGCTAACACGTCAACTAGTTCGTTGTGAGTTATACCGCTATGTGCTTTCACCCATATAAATGTGCATAAAATTCCTTGTTCCGTCAATGCCACAAGAGTGGATACAATGTCCAATACGCAAGGGTGGAGAGTAGTATAATGTTTTTTGTGTCTTAAAGCCATCAACACACTTTGAGAATCAGACAATATTGACACGACAGAGCAACGGACTGACAAAACATACCGCAGGGCCTCAAGGATTGCATATGCTTCCGCAGAGAAAATGCTACTATGAGGGTCCAACTTTAATTTTATGTGATACCCACTGCTGGGTACCCAAGCTGGGTACTAAGAAGGCACAACCGCAACCGTCAGATGTCTTAGACGCATCTGTGTAAATAATCAAACTATCTTTAATCTCATTCATTAACTGATTGAATATGCCTTTATTGTGTAATGTGTTATCACTAAAATGAGGGAATATAACATGTATCGGTTGAATATAATCAAAATATGGAATGGCAGGGAATATAGATCGACGCAGCAACCTGCGCAGGTTTAGGAAGAGTTGTCTGTAAGCAACAACAAGGGAAGGTAAATATTTCCTTCTCCAAAAGCGAGCGGACACTGTTGATACTGTAAGTCTATGGATGTTCCTCGGGACAACACTCTTCGATGAAACATTTAATTTAAGGAGTTGTTTAAACGCCAGTACTTTTCTTCGTAAAAAAAAAGGTGGTTCGACCGCCTCAACATTCAAAGCTTCTTAAACTGAGTAACCTGAATAATTCTTAAACGTTTCAGTTGATTCTCTTTTGCATTATCAAATATACTACAACCAAAATCTAAATGTGATCTAATACAGTTTCTATTAATACCGCGTGCCACGTGAATATCAGCCCCCCATTTAACTTTCACAAATACCCGAAAAACATTCAAAAACCTTTCACATTTTTGCACTATGCTATCAATATGTTTCCTCCAAGTTAATTTGTTGTCTATCATTACACCCAGGTAACGGACGCAATTGTGGATTGGAAAACTAACAGAACCAAGCCTTATACTTCCCGAGGGCAAATTTATGTGTCTTGNTAGCGGTATAACTCACAACGAACTAGTTGACGTGTTAGCTAAGGAGGCGATACAGAATGATTAGCACATTGATGTGGGACTCCACTCTGGAGAAGTTCTTTCCCTCTACAGAAATAAAGAAGAGAGAGAGGGATGGATTTCACACTGGAAAGCATACTATAATAAAGGAATAACACAATATGCAGTTATACATCCTACTGTCTTGTTTTGCCAGTGGTACATGGGGGTTGAGGTGTCTCGTAGGTTTTCAGCTATTATTGCACGACTGAAATTTGGTCACGGTCGTTTTCCATCTCACTTGTATAAGATTAAGATTTTGTCATCTCCGACCTGTGAATGTGGAGCAGAATTTGCGGATCTGGATCTGCTGCAAATTTCATGAGAAATACCGCCCAAGACTTATTAATGCGTTGCTTGCCTGTGGTTTTGTTTTGCCTATTAACATCGTTCATGTATTGAGTTGTAACCTGTTCAATGTTCTTTACATTATATATGAATTTTTGGTAAGGTCTAATATTGCGATCTGATGTATTGGTGAATATTACATAACCATGATATAGATGGTGGTCCTGATGGGCTAGGATCCCGCAAAGCCATAAATAAATAAATTAATAATTAATAATTTTATCTGTTGTTATTTTATGCTGTTGTTTAATAAGATGAATTATGATTGTATGTACATTTAAAACTATATCAATTCATTTCGATGTCAGTTGAGGATTAGTTTCTTTTGGCATTCAACATTAAGAAAGAAAAAATTAGATATGTCTTTTAAAAAATGAATATAATTTATTATTTTTATCAAAAAGAAAATTTACAACTGACAAATTACAAGATTACAATTAAGAGCAATTCTTTAAAATTAACGAGACGAAATTAATTTAAATTAATTATAGTACAACCTATCACTTCGTTTATATTAAAACTTGATGCGACATAAAATTTTCTTTCTCCGGCCGATTCACGTACGTCTATGTTTATTATGGGATGTTTACCAACTATTATGGATTGATCATATTTGCGTATATCGAATTTTTTCCATGAATGAATGTTATAGAAATACACCTAAAAGGAGAAATACAAAATAACAATCAGCTTAGATTTTCAATACTTATATGTATTACTTCAATATTATTTTGTTATTATCTAAAGAGATAGTTTTAACCCATCATTGGTCGTTATGTGAGATTTTCTCTCATATAAATCGATTAATTAATAAAAGGAATATTTATTGTTGTCATAGGGGTGTATCCTTGCTCCTATCGGAGATTTAGAATTTTGGGTATAAGTTAGACGTCTTGTTATCTCTCCCCACTTCTCAGTCTACTGTCAGCGCCGGTAAAGTTGTCCGTAAAGGCCCCTACAGACACGTTTAGTAATTTAGTCGAGTAGCGAGTAGCCACTTACCACTGGAACGTTTAATAGATGGCAACTGTCCACATTTAATATGCTCAAGACACTTTAGTGGTACTCAAGATGAACAGACGACGTCATCGCGATACACTAAACTAAATTTATGCGTACGCACGTGTTTAGTGGCAGTTGTGAGTAGTGGGGGACGCTACTCGACCGAAAAAATAGAATCAAATTACTAAATGTGTCTGTACGGGTCTTAAGTGTGACAGCTTCTCTCACGCGCGACCAATCGAGTCAGAGATTTTTCTTATTCTTTCTAATTGAAAATGTTTCCTAGTCGCGGCAGAAAACTTGCTGAGATGGGAAGGGCGTTGTATGAAGAAGCGCAATCATTATTGAGTGAGTATAGTGCATATTTATGTTTATTTATTTGTTTTTTTTACAATTATTGCAATTTCTTTCAGTAATATTGTTTATATCATTTACTCATTCAAAAAATATATGTGTAGAAAAGTTTTGGACGACAACAATCCTGAAAGCCGTGTTGTTAATTTTAAGTCTATCTTTATTAAAAGAACCGATTTGTTTATTCTTTCTTTATATTTTGTAATTCATATTCAGTTTTCTTGTATTGTGTTCCCTCTCTAGACGAGTTTCTTTTTTGTGTACCAGTTCAAGAATTTTCGGGTTTTGTTAAAAGGAAAAAGATGAACATTATTGTAAAACTAAGCCGTGTTAAAACTTCGTTCGTAATGTTCTTCTCTAGCATTATTTCTCAAATGTTATTAATTAACTCCAAATAGTAAAATAAAGTTCAGTTTAATTCAAGTAAGTGTTTATCATTCAGTTCGAAAAGTTGTTCATTCTTAAGTAAGTTTATTTCGGTATAAAACATGTGTGGATTCATTAGAAAGTGATTGTGATAGTGAGCATAGTTTACACACTACCGACACCGAACAAAGTGATTTTGATGAAGAAAAGCTAGAAATGACACGTGATTGCTATTTAGGAAGGAACAATACAAACAAGTGGTCTAAGCTATTTTTTTATAGGAGGGCGTCTGTTAAGATAAGCAGAAAAAACCTAGTCGCTCATCTCCCAGGAGTAAATCTCCTGCTAAAAATACGAAAACAATTTTAGAGACGTGGAAATTATTTTTTTCTGGCGAGACCATTAGTCACCAATAGTCACCAATAGTAGTCACCAATAGTCACCAATAGTAACTTTATTTTTTGTATTGCACAAATTATAATTTGGAAAAACTTCGTGAAAAATATACTCGATCTAGAGATTGTGTTCCAACAGCTTTTCACGAAATTTCTGCTGTCCTGGGTTTGCTTTACATGGCAGGACTGAAGAAGGCAAATCACTTGTAGTTGAATAAATTATGGGCTAGTGACGGCACATGTGTTGAATGCTTCAGAGCTACAATGAGTGAAAGGAGATTTTATTTATTGCTTCGTGCAATGAGGTTAGATGACTTTCGGGGCAGAAAAGCTCGGAGTGCAATTGATAATCTTGCTCCCATTTGAAAAGTGTTTGATGAATTCGTAGACAAATGTCAAACTAACTATCAGATAGGAGAATACGCCACTATTAACGACTTGCTTGAAGCTTTCAGAGGGCGATATATATCTTCCGGCTAAATATTGCATAAAAATTTGGGCGTTAGTTGACTCTCGTATGTTTTATACGTCCAATATTGAAATTTATACAGGGAAACAACAGGATGGGCCATATAAACTTAAAATTATTATTATTATTCTTTAAAATCACGACAGTTGTCAAAAAAAACTTTTGATATAACTGTAAACAAAGTTCACTATGTTCCGGGATTAACCACAAATCGGTTATCGGTAAGCCAATTAGTTAAACAAGGCAATGAAGTGCGATTTAATGAAAAAGGTTGTTGCATATACAATAAACTAGGAGTTGCTATAGCAAGCTTAGTTGATAATGTGTATAAGTTAAATCTTAATAAATCAGTAGGTAGTTCATTTTTCGCAGTAACGGGAGAGATATGGCATCGTAGATTTGGTCATCACAACTACAAGGACCTAAAGCTAATGAGCAGCGGGATAGTTGATGGTATGGATTGTAAAGGTTCTTGGTGTAGAAGTAATGGGCTCAGCTTGTCACTCGGAGAAGGAAGCTACAAATAAAAGCACCCTCCATTGAAAGCAGAACTATTAATCTCAAAACAGAAGCTAAATACCTAGGGGTAATACTAGACAGTAAACTAAACGAGAACTCACACTTAGATAAGGTGAAGAAAAGAGCCATCATGGCAAACCAGATCTGCCGCAGNAAGCTACAAATAAAAGCACCCTCCATTGAAAGCAGAACTATTAATCTCAAAACAGAAGCTAAATACCTAGGGGTAATACTAGACAGTAAACTAAACGAGAACTCACACTTAGATAAGGTGAAGAAAAGAGCCATCATGGCAAACCAGATCTGCCGCAGACTCCTAGGAAGGAACTGGGATCTCAAACCACAAATGGCTCATTGGGCCTACATAGCAATAATCAGACCTATGGTCGCCTACGCCTCATTGGTTTGGTGGCCAAAAACAAAACATAACATAGCACAACAACAGCTGGCACAAATCCAGCGGTTAGCATGTCTTAACATAACGGGTGTAATGAGATCCTGTCCGACGGCTGCTTTGGAAGCCCTACTCGGTCTCACACCGCTCCATTTATATATACAAAAGGAGGCAGCCTTAAGTACCTTATCACTGAAAACAGTTTCTTCACTCAAGTTGATGCAGGGTAACCTCAGAGGACACCTCGAGATCCTCAAGGACCCATGTCTAAATCACCTGATTGAAATTAAAACGGACCTCATACCGACGGAATACAATTTCAGCCAGCCGTATAAGGTCACATTTAGAAGCAGGGATGATTGGGCGAAGGGCGGGCCTCAACTAAAAAGAGGAGCCCTAGCCTGGTACACCGATGCTTCAAAGACAGTAAAATCTGGAGTAGGCATGGGCATCAGTGGACCAAATTGCCCCTCAGCTCGGACTTAACAATTTTCCAAGCAGAAGTTCTTGCTATAAACTTCTGCATCGCTTTGAACCTACAGAAGGGACAAAAAGGTGCATCCATAAACATTTTCACAGACAGTCGGGCCGCCTTAAAGGCAATTCAGGCCTACACGTGTGACTCCGCACTGATCAGAGAGTGTACCAACAACCTGAGAGAACTCGCTAGGGGCAATGATGTTACCCTATGGTGGGTTCCAGGTCACAGCAACATTGAGGGCAATGAGAAGGCCGACAAGCTGGCCAAAGAGGCAGCGAACACGCCCTTCATTGGACTCCAACCTGGTTGTGGACTATAAAAAAGCCACCTAAAACAAATAATCAACAACTGGGAGGTTTCAAAGATAGCCTTACGCTGGGAAGAACTCCCAGGTCACAGACAAGCGAAGAGTATGATAACTCCATCGCAAAACAAAACCAAAGAGGTTTTATGCCTCAGCAAAGGGGATCTAAGAACGCTCTCAGGCTACCTGACCGGCCATGCGCCCCTAAAATACCACTTCTTCCACATTGGACAAGCTGAGGATGAAACTTGCCGACTATGCAACGACGAGTCAGAAACTGCTGAACATGTACTGTGCAATTGCGTCGCCAGAGGCCGTCTAAGACACTACATTTTCGGTAAAACTCCCCTGTTACCTACCGACATAAAGGTTCAAGACCTCAGGACAATACTAAGGTTTATTAAGGACATTTGCACATTTGCCCTAAACATTAGCCCTCCAAAGGCTAAAGTTACAATAGATCTTATAGGTCGCGGTAACGAGAGGGGCCGCTCTCCTCAGTCCGGCAGCAATAATAATAATAAAGGTACAATAGAGCAAATATCAAACTGTCAAGTATGTTGTGAAGGGAAACAAACAAGATTGCCATTTAAGAACAAAGGTAATCAAGTTACGAAATGATTGGAGGTTATACATGGTGATCTATGTGGACCGATGGAGGTAATATCTTTGGGCGGTTCGAAATACTATTTACTATTGGAGGATGATTATAGTCGAATGGTGTTCGTTTATTTCTTGAAAACAAAAGATGAAGCCTTAGAAAAGTTTAAAGAGATTAAGAATTTTGTTGAAAATCAAAAGAAAAAGAACTTTATCTTCTTTTCCGAACCGATAGTGGAAAAGAGTTTTGCAATAATGAGTTTGATAATTTTTTTGAAGAAATATAGTATATTACATCAAAAAACAAACACATACACTCCTGAACAGAACGATTGTTGAAAAAGCGAGATGTCTTCTATTTGATGAAATTAGAAACAAAACTTTGGGCTGAAGCAGTGAATACTGCGGTCTACCTTAGAAACAGGACTTTGGTGGCTGGTTTAAACAGTCAAACTCCTTTTGAAGTGTGGATGAGAAAGAAACCAAATGTGAGTAAATTAAGAATATTTGGTAGTTCGGTAATGGTACACATACCAAAAGAAAAACGTCACAAATGGTACAAAAAGTAAAACAAGATTTTTCTAGTTGGTTATTCAGAAAATATTAAGGGTTATAGATTATATGATAAAGAAAATAATTGTATTATCATTAGCCGAAATGTAAAGATAACTGAAGATCTGAGTACGAAACTGGATATTTTTATGAACAATGGTGAATCGGAAGAAGAAACTACGAATTCAGTGGGGAATAAAAATCCAGAAGAAAAAGAAGAAACCAGGAAGACGGAAGAACAATTGGCAAACATTGAAAATGTGACAGATGAAAACCAAAGGGAAACAGAAGAAGTGAGAAGATCTTCTAGAGTTTCGAAACTGAAAAATTATGAAGATTATGTCACTTATTTATGTACAGCAGGAAAAGAAATTAGTGAGGATCCTGAAACGATAAGTGAAGCCAAGAATCGACCTGATTGGGAAAGGTGGAAGGAAGCCATAGAAGAGGAACTACAGTACTTTAGGAGAATCAAGCATGGGAAGTAGTTAATGGGTCTCATAAAGGAAGTGTAGTGGATTGTAAGTGGGTATTTAAAACAAAATCATATAGTGATGGGCAAATTAAATATCGTGCGGTACTAGTGGCAAGAGTAATATATGAGTAGAAAAAACAATATTTTCTTTAAAAGATGATATTTTATTTTTTATATTATCGGTGCTACAAATTTGTTTCGGTTAATTAAACCGTCATCAGGCACCACTGTAATATTGAAACTTAAATTAATTTTAAAAATTATCTTATATTACTACTTGGTCTTACCGTCTAATTGTCAATAATAAGTTTTTTGATGATGTAGTTGGAAAAGACATGTTAACATATGTCACTAATTATGCGTTCTCTTAATACAAATGAATAGATTACACTGATACAATAAACACACTACAAGTTGAGAGTAAAGAGTTAAAGTTATATAAAACCCACTATAAATAGTTAAAAATATAATAAAATTCAACACGTTAAAACGGGGAACAAAATAACATCGATGTGAATTTGAACAAGTATAAAATCGAGATACGTGATAGAGGGCTATTTTTGTACGAAAAATAACGTAGGTCAAGGAACTGGTTTATGTTATATTCACAAATTTTAAAAAATATCGGTTATTATTAAATTCAGTTATGTCATTTAATAGATCCTCTCGTTCATTTATTTTTATATAGAACTCTTCCCACAAATCCATTTCTCTAGATTTATTTAATGGCTTTAGAATTTTCATATTATCTAAACTAGCTGTATGATTGTTTTGTTTAATGTGTTTAAAAAACGCCGAATTACTCTTTGAGATATGTTCTTTGTATCTAGTTTTTATATTTCTACCTGTTTGGCCTATGTAGAACATA